ATATATATATATATATATATCTTTCTCTGCAAATGTGAACAAGACCAGTTTGGTGCACTTGCATGTGGCACATACAAATCTCTCCGTCATTTGAGAGATTTCGCCGGCTATATTTTTTTACTCGTGAAATTTGATGACTGATCTCTTAAATTAGCAAGCATAGTGCTCTGTTGCGTAAATTTGGCATAAGAATGTTTACGATAAAATTGACTTAAAAGAACAAGCATAGCGGTTGAAACTAAATAAAGCTTTTGACAAGATAACTATTACATTCAAGGGTGACTATAAGAGTACAAGGACAGAAAAAAATATCGCTTGCGAACTTTGTCATATTTTAGCTCAAATTTTACTTATAAAAATTACTTCTTTCAAACCCTTCTTCATGATTTATTCTTCCAAATTTGCTCAACTGGGATATGTATCAAAATCATTCTGTTGTAGTATGCAAGAAGGAATAGATGGCACACCATGAACGCTTCCAATAAGCTCTAGGTAGAGATTAGGCTTAACATTTTTGAGACCTTATAGCACTAGGATCAAAAGGGCAAACAGGAGAACAAACAAAAACCATTTTATCCTGGCAGCCAAAGTATGGCACGAGTGATATACTCAAAGTAAAGTACCTTACAATCTTACAGCACTCAAAATTCGCTAGGTAGGGAAACTAATGGAATACCTATTTATATTCCCTACAGAGAGATGAGTAAACGCCGTTGGATTCCCAGTATAAAGTCTGTGTACCCGAAAAAAGTTCAAAACGTTAACGCAATAACTCTTGCGTACTGGCCATAAAAAATTAAAGCCACTTGTCTCACTATTAACAAACGTCGATAACAACTTTCTCTCCTTGGCAGTTCCTACACTAGCTCGCTGAAAGTATTTCAAAGCTTGACGCCCTCAGCCCCTTTGCATGTAATTAACTGATATAAAATAATATAAAATAAGTTATATCCCGCAAGTGCTTTAGAAATAATTGAATATAGGATTTGATTGACAAAAAAAAGGACATAAAACATTGATCACCAAACATACAGCGAAGAAAACTGCGGATAACCATGCACTACTTCATATTTATGAAGATAGGCTGAAAACGTTCTAGGAATATGCCTCGTAAGGGGAAGCGATCATTAGGGTATCTTCATACTTCCTAAGAATCGGCCGATCAAGGATACGCGGCAGTTGCGTTGCGGCCCCTGTTGAGTACCGATTTGGTGCATTTCGACTCTATCCCAACCCTTCTTTTTCCTCCGACTTTGACTCGTTTTCTTTCTTCAGGTTGTGTTAGAGTTCTCAGAAATCATGAAGTGTGCCGAGAAGATTAGAACGGAACCCCAAGCAAACTGGTATTTGACTGCCGCAGCAACACACCGCCGCATCCTCGACTTACCGCGCTTATAAGCGTTATAAGAGTCGGTCGATTTGAATTGGCCGGTCCTAATAAAGTATGGAGATAACCTCACCTATAAGTGGCAATAACGCAAACATCGCGCGCGATACGCAGTTTTCGGCGGAAAGCAGCTCGGACAGCAGAGCACGCATTGTACAGACTCATGCAAGGCAACCTCAGAAGATTGAAGCGCTTTGATTCCGAGCACAACTTGAAAGATTTGAGCAAAGAATGAGGCGTGCTACGACGTTTGCTGTCTATAAATCTCAAGAAATGTGGTGAAAAAAAGCACAGAATCTTTAAATATTCATATGCCGAGTTATATGAACCATCAAAATCTGTTTTCACCGGAAATTCCCGCTTGTAGAAAGTGATGTTTGTAATGATTTGATTCTGTAGACAAGAAACCGTTATCAGAAGAAAAGAGGAAACCACGACGTTCTGCAAACGAATTACCTAATTAAATTCAAATTGCAATGAACAATAAAAGTGCGACATAACTCTCTAGGTTCTAACAACGAGAGAAAGGATTGTCGAAGTCTTATGATTGTTAAGCCCTTAAAAGAAAATAGCAATTAGCGATACTTTCAGGGATCGTAATGGCATAGACATATGCTGCTACTTCCCTAAAGGGCCTCGATCTCTGGGTTGAACCTCGAACTGAGCAAGGTCTGCAATGCGGGGACGTGTTCTTTGTACCCGCGCGGCATCAATGATAATCGCACGGCCGGTCTGGCCGCACGTGCGGCGAGTTTTTGTGACAAGTAATGGCACGCACTCCCTCGTAAGGTAAGACGACTTTAGTGTTTCACCCTATGACGATGATCAAAGGAAAGAAGAACATCAACCCGACTATGAGAATATTCGGCTGGAACTAAGGAGTGAAAAAGTGATGCTGCCCTTATGCAAGGCAATGATAGCATCACAATAAAACACTTAGCATAACAAGAAAAAGATAAAGGCACGTACATTAGAGGAAGTGGATATAATTATAGATGTGTTACAAAAAATGCGTTGCATAGCTCTTACTTCACATATGTCTTCTATATCCGCGTGAAGGCTTTAAAAGTATATTCGCCTTTGAGTAGGATCCACAGGTGCTATTACGTCCGCAGTTATCACAAACAGGCGCCACATGCTGCGGTTGCCCCTGAGGCCAGTTCTTGAACAACCGCACTTCTTTTCTTTCATCTACGTCTAATTTTCTGTGCTTACGTTTAAGCATAAACTGATAATTAAGAAAAGAAGCTGTGATCCTAGGTAAACACTCACTTTGCGGACAAAACAGCACGCGCGGTCAAGTTCAGAAAAACATCATAGTCAGCAATAAGTCAATGAATGATTTC